TATGGTAATATTTCATAATTTGATACAAATATTAATGTGACATATGGTAATATTTCATAATTGTATACAAATATTAATATTGTGTATGGTAATATTTCATAATTTGATACAAATATTAATATGCCATGTGGTAGATTTATTTGTGAAAAAATAAAAACTTACATCTGCCTGGAGAAAATCAAAGCATTAGTAATGAACAATTGCAATACCAGATTTTATTAAAACATATTCACACACATCAATACCTCAGATATGCTTACTTACATTGGTGTTATTTTTTAAGCCATATTCATTTCATATTTGTAAATAAAAATAATCTTTGATTAGCGATTGCTGCTGTATAAAGCAAGACGTTAAAAGGTACATGGATTACATTGGAGATGCACTTCCAATAAAGCAAATCCCACATATGTTTCTTTAAAGTGAAAAAATAAATTAGTGATATTAAAACAAATAAACTAATTTACCTGCCACGCGCCGATACCCGTAGTACGATGAGCGAATGGCCTCTGAAAGACTGTACACAACTTAAATGCATCGGTACGTAGTTCTACAATGTTATTAAGTAACGCCCACAAGGCGGCTAATGGGTAGACTGACGAAAACAAAAACACATATCCAAACTGGAGAAAGAGCTCTAGGTAGTCATCGAAAGTTCCCTGCATAAAAAAAACAAACTTCATGAACAAATGGTCAAAGGTCACTGCACAATTTAAGTTCTGATGGTGTTATCCAATGATGTTAACTTTTAAGAAACAGACGATACTGGGTTTTCACCTTGCAGGATGAGCAGAGAAATTCCTGCAGTGGAATTATAGAAATGACATACTTTCACTAGTCATATCACTGACAACATAGTCACAGTAAATCTTGAGCTAGTACAGATCTGTGTATGCCAATTATCAGATATACCCATGTGGGCTGGCAAACAAACGCCACAGTGTCCGCATTCTGACTACTAGGGTAGAATCACATACCTCGTACACATACATGTCACTCTGTTTTTCAATCTCCTCTTGTTTGGTCATGTCTTTTTTCTTTGATTGGTAAATACGGCCTTTAGTCCACATCAGGTATGGTAAAAAGGCTTCTAATATTTGACCAACGATTTGCTGGGTCACCAGTAATGCAGCCAGATGCTAAAATAATGTTGAACAATTAAACTCAGTATGATAATATTTTTATTGCTGCTGATATTTTGTTTAGATTTGGATTAATTATGATATTTTTTTTTTTACAAATGAGAGAAATACAGACTAAACTAAATAAAAGAGTTAATTTGATTTTATGTGATTCCGAGACAGAAAACTATGACTCATATAGCTCTTAACGCTTTGAATGCTAAACTCAACGTGTGTGTTTTTTTTTTCGATCAATATCTATACCAATGAGAATTTGTGTCTATTTTGTCTAAAATTAACAGAAAATATAAAAATGTGCAAAATGTGGTATCAAACATTTTGGCAGGAAAAACAATGGTGTTCAAAAAATTAAATGACAATTGCTGAACATCTGTTGAAATGGCGAGTAAACAACACATACATAATTAGTATGAATTCTTGTATTTGTTTAACAATATCAGTATTTTTGGCAGAACTTTCAACACAATTAACACCAGTCGTATTTTAGGGTCACAATGTACACTAACTGTAAAACAAATATGGGTGAAGACCAAAAAAAAAAAAAAAAGTACTCGCCGATAAATACTGAATTGATAAACAAACAGATTTTGAAATCAGAATTTGAACCGAGTTGAAAATGAACGTTATGGAATCATATAACTTGCCTTTCTCAGCCTGTCCATGTCTCTTAGGTAGAAAGCGATGTAGAAGAGTGACAGGAAGCAATTCACAAAATCAAACTATGAATACAAATAAATAAAGATGTTGTTATAGAAACAATTAATTAAGCATTAATTGGAATTTCATGTAAAACTGAATAATATAACGAAATGTTAATAATACGTACTACGACTAATTTCATAATCAGGTTGTTTTCATGGGCAGACTGCAGTCGATGGTTTTCTGTTAATAAAAACAAAACAAAAACAACATTCATTTTGTTGAAGTCTTTAGTTACAGCCCAGTAATGGTAGAACATTGTATTACTTGCAATCAAAAATATTTCTAAAATTTTATTTACTATAGGTTGTTATCACATGCCCATGGTGCCTAATTATTCACAGTAGTGTGAAATATCACTAACTGAAATTTCCCACTAAACTTGACAATATGCACGTTAAACATCATCAGTTTGTGTGTGCTCATACAATACGCAGAGAAAAACAAATTGTTCGGGGTACCGACTTTTATTGCTGCGATACAAAAATTACAGACCAGATAAAAATGATTACTCCCATGATGCAATTGCAATAACTCAATTATTTTGATAAAATATTACTAAGAAGGTAATTTTTGCCGATTTTGAAAACCATCGGTAGCCCTAACTGCAAATTTTTGTTCACCAACAAGCTTAGACATCACACATAATTAGCGTAATTAAGCATACAATTCGTAAGTGTATTTCCTGGTAATTTTCACACTCTGAGTTTGATGATGTGATAAAAAGGTTATCACTTGATATCATTATTTGTAGAGCTGGTTGACACTACGTCATGGGCTGTATTCTTCATTCACCACCAGACTTTCTTGCCCAAATTTTTCTGCACTTTTTTTCCTATATTCTTCAATATTTTTGAAAATGAACCCTAATTAAGGAGCCAACAGACAAAATTTGAGTAAATTTTCAGTTTTTACTCAAAAAATTAGGCTATTTTCGTTCCAATCTTCTGAAGGAAAGTGCAGACTATAAACGGGAGTATTTTGTGAATTTGTGATGAAAAAAGGGGACTGGTAGTGAAAAGGTTACTTATATACATTACAACTTCCTCAATTTTTTTCTACACAAGTGCAAGTACACGTACCATTTTCCTTTTGTTGAACCACCTGATTTTGGCTGAAACAATATTTTTTTACTTTCTGCTAGCAATTCGTCCATCGACAGGAAATGGCCATATTCAGATGCTGCTATCAATCCACTTTGATTTTTACTTATTTAAATAAAATTAGTTATACCAATTGAGTCTTTCTGAGACTCCATCCCCATGTTGCACACATTTTCAGTTTCATAGACAACTAGTAATACAATCATCATTAACTGAAAAATATTTCAACCGCTTATATCGGTAATATCCAATTCGGCCGCCTCCAAAAAACTTATAGTTACGCATTCTGTCATGAAAACAATATATTTTGGATTACCATGGTAACAACAGAAGGATGAATTCCAAATGTCATAATTACTTACTTACCCCAATTATTGAGCAGCGTTGCAACAATTCTATAAATAGCATTCATTATGACAATAATCACAGCATACAAACTACTCGGAACAAACTGCATCAGCTGACCTGTGTAACTTTCCACGTCCATTTTCTCCTGTATCCATTTTTCAAACCAAAAATACCCGAGCATCACAACAATTGCAATGAACAGAAACATCAGTATCACCGGTAGTGATACCAAATACTTCTTCAGGGACCGTTTCCATTTCGGATATGTCAACTCAACTCTATTTGTGATCCGGTTCCTCCCAACTGTACCCACAAAATTAGGGCGTGGCTCTTCAAACTTCACCATGCCATACGTGCCCCAGTGATACGTTATTGCAGCACACTTTCGCTTCCATGCCTCCAAAAATAGCGTGGACCAAACAAGATTGAAAATTGCGAATGCGGTAAAATTTGTCTCTTTTTTATCAAGGAAGCTATGATACACATAATAGAAAAGCCCAAATAAGGCCGGCACTATCAGACTCATGGTGTAGTATCCGAGAAAAGCAAAGTACAGAGCGATTGAGTCACCAAAGTAGTGAGCAATATCATCTGAAAAGAGAGAGAGAGAGAAAAACATAGTCAAATTACTGAAACCTTGCCTATCATGTATACTAAAAAACATTTAATTACAATGACTAAAAATGTTCATAATTTGAGAACGCTTGCAAGGAAAGTAAACTGGAAAGGTTACTGTGAGTCCCTTAATTAAGGACACCCAGTGACACGCACTGCTAAAATATTTTGTGATTGTCTCTGGCACAAGAGGTCACAATAAGGTCACAGATGATGAGGCAAAATACTTACTAATTGGTTGTATTTTAAGAGTTGTTATGTTGATTGTGGAGTACCATTTTTTGGCTAATATTTCCTCTTCATTATTATTATGTACAGGATAAAACTTGGATATAACTCCACTAGCTATGCACCTAGGGACTAAATAAAAATTTTTGTGAGTAATAGTATTTGGAATATTCAGTTTTCACTACTTTGTGTCAACACAGATATATGGGGTTTGATAGCCATGAAGGTTCTATTGAAGTATTCTATTCTATTCTATTCTATTCTATTCTATTCTATTCTATTCTATTCTATTCTATTCTATTCTATTCTATTCTATTCTATTCTATTCTATTCTATTCTATTCTATTCTATTCTATTCTATTCTATTACCCTATAAATACATAAACTGTGCTGTGTAAACTTGTACATTTACAATTGGAACTTAACAAATCTGAGAGAGGCATGCTCAATGTATCAAATATAAATGCAATTTCTTGTTCCCGAATTGATAGTGTTTGCACGTTCATCTTTGGACACTTGCGCATATTGTGTGATCTGGGGTCAACAAACTAGAAGATAGAACAGATTTCAAACGTTCTGAATGCGCAGAGTCGCAGTACATCGAACACCAATGTTTCTAACTCGCAACGTAAAAATTCCCCTGAAATAAGACTGCCATCATCTTTCAACTAACTTGTACCAACCTCTGAAACTTTGCACACTATTCTGCCTAAGCAAGAATAACCAGCATGCAAATTATCTTTGGCTATAGCGTAATATTTTCATATTTTTTGCGGATAATTTGGGAGTTGAAAAACTATGTCAGGGTCATATTTTATTATTATATTTTATTGAAACACACACGTACCACTTCTATTCATTTTCTCTACAAGAAATCCATGTTTCTCGGCTGTCTCAAATAGTTCTTCTAGCTGCACGTGATGTTTGAGTAGCCATAATTATAGATATTGCAATTTATATTAATTCCACCATTCACAGTTAATTAGGTTTGTTTACAAACAAAATAGCATTTGCGACTTTGTTTGAAAATCAGAGCAACAACATGTACTCAAATTAATCAAAGATTGTTATATGAGAAAGATACAATTCCAATGCCGCAATACTTACTAATTGCTTCACCTTCGCACACTTTGATGTCTGGAAGGCCAGGCAGTGACAAAGTGGTACTGGAGTGAATCTTCTCAAGAGCATTCCGAATAACATATTGTACCTCAGCACTGGATAAAAACTTATCATCTAAATCAAAATGAAGAAAGTAGAGAGCAGACTTTACTCATCGACAAATGCTTATAAATTGACAAAGTTTGTCAGCTCACAGTTTATTAACTTTTGTTAACTATACTATTTTGTTTACAGCAACCTCTAGTTGCAGTTTTTCAAAAATGTTTCTCACCTAAATTCAAAGCAGGGACAGGAATTGAGACGCAATATACAATGCACTCCATCTGACAAAGCATGACAAGATACAGTCATGTCTGACACAAGTCGGCCATTTTGGATACTGTATTTTCATGAAACAAAATGATGTGCATATGTACTGCATGATGTTCTGTCTTTGTGCCAACCAAACTAGTCAACATGTGACTTAGAAATAGCAATACATGTGCATATTTAGAAACAAAATATGTGCCAGTTGTCAAACAAAAATTAACTCTAAAGCAATGTAGCAAGTTTGAATCAGATCAGCCAATGCATGTTTGTGACGTGATGACATGGATAGACAACCAATAGGCAGACGGATGGACAGAAAATGACAAATCTATTATGGAAGAAAAATGACAAGTTCCTGTTTCCCCAAAGAAAATAGAAATCACACCAGAGCTTTGATCACGTCACCAAAACAAGAAAAACAGTTTAAAAAGTCTGTAACCCAGGTGAAAGAAATTCTTTATGAAATACTCTGCTTATAGCCAATAAAAAAAAAATTGCCAAGTTACAAAACAAAACCAGATTGTGATTAATAAATATAGTAGTGTGTGCCTTGAGTACACCACACATCTATGGACCAACTAACACACTCACCTATATTCACAAACTGTTCGGAATTTTTCAAATTAAACTCCCTAAGTAAGCCATCATGACACTTTTTTTTCAACCCAATGATTTCAGCTCCTTCCAGCAGTCTGTCGGGCGAAGCACCAATAAAGAGAATTCCTGTACAAAGAAATAATTCATGAAGTACTCACAGTAAAATCATGGTGCATGATGCGAATAGAAGCAGGGGAGCATTTTGCATACTATTACCATAAATCAATTTGCATACTGAGTGGCACATGACAACATGTTATTGACCTAATTTGTTTGAATTATATAATTTTTGATAATTTAAGGCTACCATTAATACAAAACACCATTTCCTCAACCTTTTCACAA